AAATCTGAACAAATGAAGAAGAAGAACAACAATAACAACAACAGGTGCAACAACAACAATAATTGTCATTAAATAACAGTTTTGTAATTCATACAATGTATGTTCCTGTGAAGGTGCAATAATTAATTCATTAATCAAATTAGTGACTCCAGAAGAAAAGTCCAATGGTAAATATCAGATGTAACTTCACAGAAATGAATAATACATTATACACGATGGATTTTGTTTGTAGGTTTTTGCCATAGATTTTGTTTTTCAGTAGTTTTTTTTGCAGTTGATTTTTGTGAGTAGGTTTTTGCAATGGTGTCTTGTCTGTAGATTTTTGCAATGGTGTTTTGTCAGTTGTTTTTGCAATGGTGTCTTGTCAGTTGCTTTTTGCAATGGTGTTTTGTCAGTTGTTTTTTGCAATGGTGTCTTGTCAGTTGTTTTTTTGCAATGGTGTTTTGTCAGTTGTTTTTTGCAATGGTGTCTTGTCAGTTGTTTTTTGCAATGGTGTTTTGTCAGTTGTTTTTTGCAATAGTGTTTCGTCAGTTGTTTTTTGCAATGGTGTTTTGTCAGTTGTTTTTTGCAATGGTGTCTTGTCAGTAGCATTTCTTCAATGGGGTTTGATGGCATCAAGTTTAACGTTGCCCAGTTTTATTTACCGGTTTTAGCTTGAAAAACAACCAATAAGAATGGAATAAGTTCCCATTTTTTAATGCTGATGACAGAGTGGTATATACAGTACCAGCACACTGGCCCTTTTATTTAGCATTCATCTTAACAACAAATAAAGATGTAAAAATTGTGATAACAGAAGTATTTATGTAATGTTACTGTTAAAATGAAAAATAGAAATTGAAAATTATCTCTCAATGGAATTAAAAATACAAGGTGATAACCAATTATTAATACAATTTTTCCTGTACGAAGAGACATTATACACATTGACCAAGTTAGAAAAAATAAGATAATCTCTGTGTTTGATAAAATATTCTTTGTGACAACTATTGTTAATTATTCATCACTAACCGTCCAGTTATCATATTTATAATTAGAAGATAAGACTTTGTACATGGGTTACCTTGACCACAGATCAATATATTGATAATACATATACAACAGAACATATCATTTCTGACCATTACAAAATGGTCCATTTCTACCAAAAAGGAATACATTGTCTTATTTGTTAACTTCTAAAGCGGAGTGAAAAATAGCATTCTTTATTTTGAAAACTAACACATAGTACCTTTAATTTGTAAATAAGGACTTGCTTTTTATCAGAAAAGAAAGGAATTAAATTATTTCTTAAATCATTTTGGAAAGGAGAACGTACCTAAACACTATCTGAAACGTGTTCGAAATACTTCTTGATCGGAAATACTTATATTAGAAGGTAAGTGCATATTATAAAGCACTTAAAAATCGGAAAGGGGTCGTGAAAATCGACTGATTTTGGAAATTTTATCCATTTTTTAGTGCATATTAGTGTGTCAGATAGACAAATTTACAGACAATGTAAAACTTTTTGTACATCTTTTTTTGTCGTACATGTAACTATACAAAGATAATATGTCATTTGTAATTTTATCGAGAGCAAACGCGTAAAATGTAAGCATTTTCGGAGAATTAGTTGATGTTTTTTTATGAATTTACTTAAAGTGTTTATATTTTCTTCATCAACCATTGAGTCTTATTACAATGTCATAAGTCAAATAAGCCGTGTCACGACAAAACCAACATAATGGGTTTGCGACCAGCATGGACCCAGACCAGCCTGCGCATCCGCGCAGTCTGATCAGGATCCATGCTGTTCGCTTACAGACCCTATAACAAGTTAAGAAACAGATAGCGAACAGCATGGATCCTGATCAGACTGCGCTGGTCTGGATCCATGCTGGTCGCAAACCCATTATGTTGGTTTTGTCGTGACACGGCTCAAATATTATTTAATTAAATGTGACATATTATTACACACCAATGTGACACCCTAACGCTTATTTGTGTCATATTCTGACGGTCAAATGTGATGTCACTTATTCTGACACAGAAATTTAATGTGACATTCATTCTTTATGTCAAATGTTAGGTTAAATGAGGCATATATTCTAACACTTCTTAAAGGTTGTTAACTCTTATACTCAAATGTGAAATATTCTGAGGGTCAAATGTGACATACCGGCACTTTAAATGTGGCTTGCTCTAACGCTTAATTGTGACATATTCTGACGTTTTAATGTGACATAATTATTCTGACTTTTAGATATGACATTTTCTGGCCCTCGATGTGAAGAATTCTGCTCAGAAATGCAGACAATCCTTACTGATAACTTACCAGTTAACATTAGTGCCAAACTTGGTTAAAAATTCTTTATTCTTAATCGTTCTTAAGGTCTTGGAATGATTATGGAAGAATATGTCCTATAGAGTCGATAACCACGTCCGAACTGCAAGATCTATATACTGACTTAATGTGAAATGTTGTTCGTATTTGTGGTGTAAAATAAGCGTGTCAAATTAACAATACGTAACTAAAAACACACGTTGTTTGAAAGCATATATTCTTGCATGACTATATATATACGGCCTTCGTGGTCAATTCCTATGCATCAAACTCCAAACCTGTGTAAGATAGCCGGTAAACACCGCTGGGATTAATATAATCTCTTAAAGTGACATTTAACTATTCAAGTGTAAAGGAAAAAGGCAAAATAACTTTTAAACATTTTCCCTTTATATTTTAATACGCAAAAATAATAAATAACCCGCATAACACAAGCTATTTGTATTGCAAACATATATAATTAAATAGAACTACAGGCATACCGTTTAAACTTTAATACGTATTAATTTAATATAAATAAGCATTATACCACTATTTCGGCCTATTGTGTATCATGAACACTTAATTACAGACATATGATGTTTTTTACCATAGCAAGCTTTCATTGATAAAAAAAGAAGAAGAAAAAATCGATTCAAAATATCATATTTAAATGTGCACAATTTGTCCTAAATCTTAGTAACTAGTTTATTTCATTTGTTGCTTAAAACATAGTTTTATACATTACACTTGGTACATGTCTGCATTCAGAAAACAAGATATATTTCACATGTTAAAGCTCGGTGGTAGAAATAGTCACATGACAGTTCACCTCCCCATAAAACCTAAATACTATTTCTAGACTAATCATCTATATACATGTACGATATGTAATGGAATTAAGAGACATATATATTACAAAATGGTATTAAATACTGATTTAGCTACAGTTTTAAAAATTATCACTTTAATATAGATAAAGTAAAGAGCAATAATAATCATAGTTTTGAGTTGCCAAGAACCTTTTTCCACATTTCGTGTCAATATCCACATTTGGTGTCTATATCCACATTTGGTGCGTAAATCATTTGGTGTCTATATCCTCATTTCGTTTCTTTATCCACATTTGGTGTCCATATCAATATTTGATGTCTAAATCCACATTTTGGGTCTACATCCACATTTGGTGTCTATATCCACATTTATCCACATTATGTGTATATATATTTATATTTGGTGCGTAAATCCACATTTTGTATCTACATGTATATCCACATTTGGTGTCTATATCCACATTTCACATTTCTTGTCTATATCCACATTTCGTGTATATATCCACATTAAGTCTTGAAGCTGCATTCCTCAAAATGTTTCAAGAAAATCAAACTAGAGAAAATTTTACAAAGATTTTAAGAAAAGGAAAAAAAAAGATGCATGATTCAAGGAATATTTTACATGTTATATTTGTGATTAATGATATGTTTTGCAGTATTTATCGGCAAATTTCTACTGCGTGATTAACGCAGTTAGGGCTATTATTGCATATTTTGATCTCATGCCGTTAATTTACGTGAATTGGTATTGCCATTCACAAGAGGGTAAATTACTTTCTTTGTTCACTTCACAATATTTAACTGTCAAATACATTTTCAAAAATTTCATGAAAATAAATATGAAATTGGAGACATGCTGCTTTAAAGCAATAAAACTGTGTACACACGTAGCTCATGTTTCAATAACCCACCTTACATAGAATCGACTTCCTCCATATTATCACGATTAATGAAGATTATTATATAAGTCAGACAGTCTGCGTTAAAAAACAAACATCGAATCATTATGTTGTGTCCCCTGAAACGTATTCTTATTCCTGTAGAAATTACATACGTTAAATCGTGATGATACGATGTTAAATTTGTGTGTGTGTGGGGGGGGTTGGTTTTACTTTGGGCAAATATTGATAAAAAAATCCCCAGTAGAAACGTACCATTTAGATATTCCTTTAAAAGAATGTCGATAGAATTTTAAGTGATTCAGTATAAACATTTAAATTATGAGTTCTAGAATAATAGCATCTGAACTGGAATTCATCTTCGAGCTTATTACATATTTTACATTATCTGCTGTATATTAATATATAATATCGAACCATGTATCTCACACTTACCAACAATATCCGTATTTATTTGGAGGTTTGTACTGACATATGATAATAAATGCTACCAACATATTTATTTATGGCATTACATACCTTCCATTGTGGACTAATTCACGTTAAAATTGACGTTTTGTGTAAACATATGCATATATAACTTTTCAATGTAGCATTAATAGAGTCACCGAGTGTTTCGCCTTTAAAGTTTTCTCTCCAGAAACAAAATAATTCAGTTTCCAGACCTTGTTGCTTTTCAAAATAGAAGAATCTGGGGACAAACCTGTCTGGTGTTTTTTTTTCAACTTTACATGTCGTCGTTACTCTAGACGAGAATATTGCAAGTTTGCAAAAATGAAGCAGTGAATGTAATAGTGTAGCTATGAAATAATATTTTTGTCATATTCATCGCTTATAAATAATTACAACTTGTACGATTACCAATTATAAATAATTGTCCTTAATTACAGCATTGACATTTTACTTTCAGAAATAAGATGAAAAATCAATAATATTTCTTTAGCTGTAAATGTCTGTACAAATGTGTGATAATTTCTGTAGAGCAGGAAATATGATGTACAATACATGAATATTTGATATAACAATCGTGTAATCAGGTGTTTAGATAGAGGTATTTGTGTCTGGGAAGCACCGGTGATCGTCATATGGTGATGTATCGACAAGTGCCACTGATACGAAATTGAAAATATATAAAAATAAACAGAAGTAATGCTCCGCGGAGCGACGATGTAGAATATATATTTATACAATACTAGTATCAGGGGAAAACGTATAAAAGCTTGGGAATGAAATGACGATAATGATTGTTTGTAAATTCTGTATTATTTTCAGAATGATCGGAGTACAAAAGAAAAAAGGAGTTCCTAAATGGTAAGATTTAAATAGTTTATATATGCATAATGAGTAAATAAATATCTTAGGTTGAAATTATATTTTAACGACCAACAACATATATTTTAACGGAAGCGTCCTGGTGCAAAATAATAATGTTCTTTAAATTTCTTTTTTGTTTTTTAAAAATCTAACACCAAAATAAAGTGTTTTAAAATAGCCTAATTATGAAAAATAATATATTAATTACGACATTATGGTCCTCATTAGGAATTAAAAGCCTATAATTCTTAAATTGGACTATATGTAACTCTTAATTATGTATAAGCTTCTCCTCCTAATACGGAATTTATAAGTCCCAATTAGAGTCTGTAAGTCTTACTTAGGCATTCATCCCATGAAGGAGTTTAAAGATTCTCAATTAGGCTTTTCAAACTCCTACGTAGACCTAAAACACTCCTAATTAGGAGTCAATATTTTCAAAGAACGTTAAGATTGGCACCAGTACGCTTCCGTATTTTTTTAATTATTATTATTTGCTTGTTTTGATCGCCCTTTGAATATTATTTCAAACATATATGTGTAGGGTTTTTGGTTCACTATAACCAGTCACTATCCTATCTTATAACAATTACTGTCTTGTTGTGTTTTCCCTCAAAGTAACTTTTTAACGTGCGAATGAATTGGATACACGAGTATTTAGTAGTGATCAAAACTATTAAGAATCAAAATATGTGCCTCATCCATTACTCGAACCCACGAAAACAAGGCCCGTAGATAAGATATATTATACTTCCTCCTGAGCTTATTGGGCAGAAAATATTATACTACGTCAGATATAATAAATAGAACGGCTTAGCCGAAACGTTATATAAGTACAAAACTTAAATTTACCTAATGTAAAATAATGGCACCTTAGTAATTTAAAGATCATCATCTTGTGTTAATATAACAAATAAGTAAACTCTGTTTATATTATTTATTATAAATTATTTACTTATACTTGATTACAAAGAGTTTTTAGGTTATTAGAACAACTGTAGAACTAACAAGTAATGGTGATGAAATAAGGTAATGACCCAAGTAGGGCTTGAACGTACTCTCCCTGGGTTGAGAGGCAGGAATCTTTAACATGTTATAGGCGGCCGCCAGCCCGCATTTAATAACTCTATGACACCATTCCAGCTTTAATGTGAGGAAGACCTCAGGTTTCCCTGTGAGAATTTATTTAGGTGTTGTACTATCGATTCGCGCAAAATATAAAACAATATGATCCGATATATTAAAGTTATTTCAAGGATTATTTTGACATATTTTTGTAAATAAGAGTTACAGTTGCCTTAGTAAATATCATTTTATTTCAGGGTTGCAGTATTGGCAATTCTTGCTTTGGTTTCTGTGGCAACCGTTTTACAGACATACTCGTCGCTACGTATTTTTAGATCGATTTCCTCACCACACCTGTATCATGAAAGATTAATCCGCCGTCAAACTAACGACACAAGAAATATAACTTCAGCAGCGAGAAACGCTATAGTGACACCTGGTTTTATAAGAAAAGTTCTTGAAATAAATTCGAGAGAACAAGAGATTCCATCGGAAAAGAACATATTTACACATGCAAGTGAAAAGTCTACGACAAAATATAGTATAAGTTTTGATGAGCCCACGTCTACGCACAAAAAGATACCAAAACAAAAAGTTACTCATATCGGGTTCTTAAAGGTTCACAAGGCCGGTTCGACAACGATGCAAAATATCTTTTTCCGATTCGGTCTAAAACATAATTTGACGTTTGTACTGCCCGAGCGAGGGCACTATTTTATGACAACAAAGTCGGCAATGCCTGTGACTCCGGGGCACCACCGGGATATTTTGGCTTGTCATTCAAAGTACAGTCGGGGGTTATTTGGATCGGTTCTTCCGGAAGACACTGTTAATATTGGAATAATTCGGGAACCTTTTGACCGTATGATTAGTGCCGCTTATTACTACAGGGATGTTTGGAGATCCCCGATGCTCATTGATGTGCCGAGATTAAATTTCATTCACAATCTTGTCAACCGGCCTGACCTTTATGAACGCAAACCATTCACTAAGACAAAAAACGCAATGGGCCAAGATTTCGGATTTGCTCCTACAGTCACCATCAATGATACGGACATTATTAAAGATCATCTCGAAATGTTGACAAAAGATTTTAAACTGGTCCTTCTTATGGAAAAGTTTGATGAGAGTCTTATATTAATGAAAAGAACCTTAAACTGGGATTTATCGGACATAATTTACTTCACGTCAAATAGCCACGCCCATCAGCCCGTGATACTTAATCCAACCGAACTTGACAAATTTAAAAGCACGTGTTTTCTCGATTATGCTGTTTTTGAAAAATTTAATAAAACATTTCATGAAAAGTTATCTGCCGAAGGTTTACATTTCATGGAAGAAGTTGAACATTTTAAATCTGTACTCGAACTAGTCAAAGATTACTGCGATATACAGGGAGCAAGAAGGGAGCGCAAACCTTTGAATATAGTTGAATCTGACTGGAACGAGCCATTCAAAATAACACAAAATGATTGTTACTATATGCAAATGAAGGAGTTACCTTTTGTAGACTTTCTTAAAAGAAGACACAGAGAAGCAAATATTCTCAATGACCTTGAAATAAACAAATATTGATTATGACTAAAATGTCTAAAAACGATCTAGGCTTAGTTATGACGCCATGGTTATAGTTGAAGCAAGATTAAACGCAAACGTCTCCGGGAAGTAGGACAAGTTCCGATCCGGGGATATCCCGACACAACTTGATTTTGGATTTCCAAGGAAGTTACGTCATGTGTTCAGGTTGCTGTCTCAATCATAGTCTGGATTACCTGCCCTTTTTCTCTTTTTCGTTCAATAGTACTAAATTTTATAGTACGACGGGAACCAGACTACCAGGTATCTCAATCATCGCTTATGCTGCAAAAAGAACGCCGCCGTCTTTGGTTGGCATGTCTCTGGCTTCATAATTAGTGTATAGAAGGAACTCCACTGAAGTCTAAATGCATAAACATACTACATGTATTTAAATTCAATTTCTTTCATTGATTAAATGATGCACTTGAAAAAAATATGCAACAAATTTAAGCACAAAACAGTGATGTCATGGCATGTCGTGGTGATACTTTAAAAACAGTATATTTATTTCAAAGAATATCGTGATTCTCAATTTATTTATTTAGTTTAACAATGCAAAGTTAATCGAAGATACGTGATTGCGGCGCGATAATCAAACGTCCTCTGATCATGATTGTAATCAAGCGTCCCACGATAATGATTGTCTCGTGAGAGTCTCGTGGGAGTTGGAGTGTATGAATCCCACTTAACGAACATAATTGTCGAGAAAATTACTAACCCTTTGTACCCAGTAATTTCATTCGTTCATATGTAATGCACATTTCCCTTTCGGGAATCAACACAGAAATTAAATATTCCTAGTCACTGAACATTTACTGCCATTGGGAATATGCCTGGCACTTAACATACATGTATATTTGTTATTAACGTGAAATGCATATGTTTTTCATTACTAATTATTGTTGATTTTTTTTATTTAAAATTTTCATTGAAGTTTAAATAAACTGTCTACAGAAGAGAAATAAAGTGTCAAATCTTACATTATAACAGAATTTCTAAATGAAAAACATGGCATCAAAACGGTATTTCCTATTCAAAAATGACACCAGATGGAAATATGACACCAAAACAGTATTTTGTTGGTCATTTTGCTTTGATTTATTAAAATGGCATCGAATTGTATGTTCTTGGGTCAGTACGATCTCTATGGCTATCATGTTCCGCAGTAGACCTCTGAAATAATAAGGCGACATATTGGAACTACTTTCAGTCAGATGGTAAAATGGCGGACTCCAGCCTCCACGTGCCACATTTGTGGCGAAATGGGAAGTGATATGCTTTTTATACAGTGGAAGAAATAACAGTGATGTTAAGAAATTGATAACCGTCAATTCTCTTCTAAATTAGGATAAGCTTAAGTTTAACGATTGCATCTTGGGCATATACACGCGGAAACGACACTAAAAAGGCGACTAAAACTGATCTCAGAACGATTTTTACTATTAAGGGTATATATCCAAAATAAGTAGTCATTTGAATTCTGCATAGCTGATTTTACGCAACAATTACAATTAATTTTAGACATTTAGACTAAACATGTAATTTTATGCATTTAATGTTAAATGGGAAGTAAAATATCTGATTAAATGATATGAGTAACTTAAGTATAGTTGCTTTCTTTCGATTGAGAATTAAAATATCCCAAAATTTACTTGAATAATAAATAATTAATTTATTCGTGATGTTAGATAATTTTCAAAATTAATAATGTAATGTAATTTACTTAGTTTTTACGAGAAATGCGAGGAAGCGTGGCTTTTGTCATGTCTCACAACCCTTTGTTATATTCTTGAATAATTATGAGTATATTATGAGTATATTACGAGTATATTATGAGTATATTATGAGTATATTATGAGTAAATGCTCTTGTCATTTATTTTTTTAACGCTTTACCCTTCACGTTCAAAGTTTTTGACCTTTACATTGCTTATTAATAGCAATATCAAAACGCAATGGCTAAACAGCAAAATAATCTCATACGCGAGGTGGTACTATTTTTAAACGCGTATGTAGCGATGACAGGCGGTCATGTGGTTATGACTGCAAGCTTTAGAGCTTTCGCTTTTAAAAATTGCATCAGATTTCATGTAAAAAATAATTTAAAAATCCAGAGGGTCTTAAACTGATGCTTTGCATAAATGGTTTTCGTTGTTTTATATTAAAATTAGTAAATAATCTGGAAACTTTATACCTTATCATAGAAATAATAGAATAGTGATATGATGCGTTGTTTATTATATGTATACACTCAGAGGCCCTTATAAACCGACACTTACATTTTTTTCGGTATAAATATGTTATTTGAGAACGGATTTTGTCAAATTTGGACCATACAAAATTCAACATATCACACTTACTACTTAGAATTATATTTACAATTCATAGATAAGAAAAAAGAAAAACATAACAAAACAAATAGGCTACTGTAAAATGAAAACTCACAGAATGACTGTAATAATCGTTAGAAAATGAACAGTCTCTGAATCCAATTAAATCTGTATGTAAACCAGTTCTATTAATTTTTATGTCCTCCCAATTGGTTTCAACGACGTAGAGACTTCTGCCTCACAGTTCTCTATTCCTTAACAAGGGCTTGCTCGAGTTCCAGCAAATTGCGAGGGGCTTCTGGTCGCTTTCTCATTCAGCCGACCCGTGTGATGTTTAGATCTGGTGACTTATATTGCAGGAGTTGCTGAAACTCGAGGAAGTCCTTATTCAGGAATGGAGAAATATTCCCCAAGCCTTCATGAGAAACTACGTCATAACCATGAGACAGGTGTTTACACTTTGTTATAGCCATGGGAGGACACACAAAGTATTAGAACTGGTTAACATACAGATTTAGTGGGATTCAGAGACTTTTCATTTTGTTACGATATTTACAGTCATTCTGTGACTTTTCAATTTGCAGTAGCATATTTACAAATAACAAATTTATACCTAAATGTAAGTGTCGGGTTATAAGTGCCATTGAATGTATTGTAACAGCTGTGATTGTAACATGAACAAGAAGAAGAAAACTCCTGATATCGCAAAATGCATCGACAACAAACACATTTTATTGGAAATCAGAGAAGATTTTTTAATAAGGGGTTATATTTCACTAATTAAAAGTATATTAATACATCTGTTTCCATTGTCTATTTATTATTTACTGATTTAATTTTTAAGCCATATGTTGTTTATTACCTATGTGGTGTAGTGTTAATTTTGTATGGTAATATGATGAAAGATTACCATATAAATAACTATACAAACATATGCCCGAAAGCAATGAAAAAATTATTCGTCCATCTGGGAAAATACAACATATTTGTAAGAGTCGTCTGTGAATTATTTTTATTATGTCAGTGCGTGTGGCCGTTAAATAAGAGGCGGTCTTTTGCTTAAGGTTGACTGTAATTAACTTAAGGGGAAATAAAAATGACAATAAATTAATGTATGTTTTGTTAAAGGATACAAAATATATGTATGATCTAAATGTTCGAACGTGATGTGGATAGCATTAATTTATATCAAGAGCACTTTACATTGAACGCTACTCATTATCGTATATGATTTATCAAAGGGCTGTGTATACATATGAATATTTTCAAGCACTCTCTCGAATCAATTATATTTCTTATGATGATACATTTCTTTATCTGTTGTTATTTTTTCATTTTATTTATTTATTTATTTATAGTTTTTGATTGTTTTAGTCACAATGTCTCTTTTATGGTCATAAAGCGACTTTCAAGCTTTACTGGTGAAGGAAGATCTCAGTTGCCCTTCCGTGCATTATTTCAGCCTGAGTACGACCATCGACATTGAGTGTTAAATTCGGCGTTCTAAAAAAAAATCAGAACGCCGATGTGATCACCTTACGTTCGCATGTATCGCCGCAACAACACAGTGGCACCGCCGACGGCCGTCGCACACTTTGAGCATGGTTGAAACAAAAGCCGTCACTCGGCACGATCTGATTAGAGCGCAGTTGGATCTTAGATCTTCTTACATACAACAGGAGCGCTGCGAAATCGCATAGCATATACTGCACTCGGCATCAGAAGATATAAAGTTTGTGCGGACTTCGTTTCTGACATGTTGGCTGGTTAGATCCTCAGCATAGAGGGCAGTGACAATGAGGAGGGTACACGAATTCGTGAGCTCGTTGAATGCAGTGGCGGCTTGAAAGACATGCCAATTGCTTGGCACAAATAGCCCTTGTCAGGGTTACCTCGCCTTCTCATATTATCTCGGGTTACTGTACATTTAGGTACTTATTGACAGCTGTACAGTGATATACTTTTTTAATAATTTTTTCGTACTCTGTGAACTTTGCACGGAGGTAAATTAACACCACTTATGCAAAGGACATAACAGGTAACATGTCCGGGTTCCGTTCTCGACTTCGAAAGCTGCTTTTTGTGTCTTAACAACAGGCAAATGGACCGATAGACAAGTTACTTTTGTATCTATTATAGAAACCAACTTAGAGGAGTCATATACAGTATGACACATAATACCAATCACGACTGACTTCTCATGTCCCTATAAAAACAATTTTCATGACAAAGTTACTATATGTCGTCAAAGTGAAATTTTATAATTCCGTAAACTTGGTTAAACAATAATTCTGCATGATTTATTTGTATGTACAAACGTTCTATAACAACATTGATAAAACCTGTATGTAATTTGAACATATCATTATGATATGATATAATATATACATGACCATCTGCTGCGTGATATTAATACACTTGATCTTAACTGAACCTTACTATAATATAAATCAAAGTACTTGAAGTTCTGATGGAAGGCGATATTCGAATTATGAACATTTTATCGTTAATATTTTTGTTTCGCACTTAATTAACAGCTAGTTAAAGGGGTGGTGGTGGCGGGACTATGACTGAATGAACTCATTCTGACACGGTAACTCGAACTCCTCACAGTGATTACCTCCCTTGGCAGACTGATAAGGGGAGATCACTGCGTATAGGAGATTGACTGTAACTATGTAATGCTTTATACGCTACTGTACAGATCACGAGATTCTCTATTGACAGAGGACTTTTACGCGCCCTTGAAACAATATAACGAGTGTTGTAGTATTTTCTCTTACATATTTTATTTTGTAAGTATTTCTTTGAAAAAAAAATTATTCAAGAAATTGAAAACTTTCTATATATATCTCAAATGGTTTCGATCTGTTGAGTAAGACCGTTGCCAGAGTTAAAAATGAGCCGCGTCACCACAAAACCAACATAATGGGTTTGCGACCAGCATGGATCCAGACCAGCCTGCGCATCCGCGCAGTCTGATCAGGATCCATGCTGTTCGCTTACAAACCCTACAACAAGTATAGAAACTGATAGCGAACAGAATGGATCCTGATCAGACTGCGCGGATGAGCAGGCTGGTCTGGATCCATGCTGGTCGCAAACCCATTATGTTGGTTTTGTCGTGACGCGGCTCAATTAAGCTTTAGATGTAGATGACAACTCTATCTCTCTGTCGATTGTTGATGAATTTAACATGGTCCAATACTGATATTCTTTAATTGCTAAAATGGCTATCAGGGCTAGAAATAGAAAAAAACAACTTTGAACGACATCTCCTCTTACTTTAGCAATGCGATTAGCTCAATAGGTAGAGCGTTAGACTGTGAGTCGGACAACCTAGGTTCGATCCCCGGTTGTGACTGATGTTTGAATCCTTTCTACGGTCATTCGCACTGTGCCTATACTCTGTAACCTCTGCTCTGAAGTTCCTTGCGAAAAGTGAACTACAACTAGAACAGGTAAACTGCTTGACAGTCTGCCCAGGAACGATGCGATGGTTGAACTGTGCTCCGGTGAATTCAATGTGGTACTGATCCGGAGTGGAAACTACCAATACTACTCCATCTCCATAACTTCTCCTCAAAAACTTGGTAGATGGTAGTCCTGCTAAAACGTTCCGGTCTGATGAGCAAGGAATTTATTTTTAATTAAATCGTGTGCGATTGAAAACCATCTGTCTCTCTTTTTCATTTTATTTCTGAAAGGAATTGTCAATACAGGTATTTATGTTGAATATGCATAATTGATCAACGTTCAGGGTCATGTAACAGTGGTATATGACCAAAATATCATTTCGTAGCTCCAAACTTTACTGACAACAACTTGCAATAATCATGACGAACTGTAGAATTATTATTTATGTATTATATGGGGATATAAATAGCTTTATGACCAATTTTTGTCTTCTATGGTTAGAATCCTTATTCTTAATTGGTAGTCATTTGAAGTTGTAGCATTAATGATTTCACAAAATAACTATAATTCATGAATCCACTATATTAAATTCATTTTGAACATTTACACCATACATGCAATTTTATACATTTAATGCAAAAAAGGCAAGTGAAATATCTGATTGACTTATATGAGTAACTTAAGCTGTTTTCTTTAAGAATTGAAATTACTCCCAAAATCACGAATTATAAGCAATTGGTCGACAATTTATCCGTAATTAATTAACTGTAAGGTGATTTGTGAATAATGTTAATGTCATTTACATTGCTTCATTATATGATTTTCAATCGATAAGGTCAAGAGTATTAATATCACGCAGCAGATGGTCATGTATATAATACATCGTGTAATTGTATCATAGTTCGGAGACTTTACTGAGTTAAATCCGCAGTGTGCGTTAACTGGAGTGCCGCACTTACTGTCTATCTAGAAAAAGCTTGCTGATTGTCTCAGTTTTTCTGGGGTTTACTTATTGCGACGACAGGGAAATAACGATATAAAAGTTAATCTGATAAAAGTCAGCTCTAAAGAACGCGCCGCTTTTAGATCTGACCGTGACCAAGTACGAAATCATTTCTGGAGACAATTCACACAGCCAATCGTCGGCGAGCTTTCATAATTTTGAAAGCGGAGTGGTTTGTAATAACCAATACTGAGTAGGTAATTTTTACGATTTCGAGAACAACATGGCGTTTTCCATAAAGCCGGCAGGTAAAACAATCTCACTCATTGAAAATTGGCTCTACATCATTAATTTGTTAAAAATTACTTCAAACATTTTTTTCTAACAAAAATCAACAATTTGTTACTTTGCCTAGTATGTAAAAACCGGTTTGATTGCATGACTAAAAAGAGCTTTCTCGGGAAATCTGAATTATAAAGAAGGCGAAACATACGGTCGTCATCAGATCTACATAAAAGAAATAAGTATATCTGAACATAAGTCAGATTGATATAAAAGTCATATTCAGATGCTCTTAGTCTCGTGTTTCAATGGTCTTTCTATTACTAATGGTATGTTGTTCAAATTACATACAACCTATAGTTTGATATATCATGCATTGTCGTTTAATTCAGTACTGAAATCTGTCTTTACAGAATTGTATTTTTTTGTCTTTTCCATTTTAA